TTTTTTTTTTTTTTTTTTTTTTTTCTGAAGTTTGTCTGTCTATCATTCTGTTCACAGTTAAACGATACAAACTTGAATTCGGTTTCATATACTTGGTATGTGTTTAATTGTATTTTAGATATGTCTCCCTGTCTCTCTGATCAATGGACACGCGGATAGGGCTTGATCAAAACACTGAGGGAAAAATACATTTATTTGTTTCAGTTGTTTTTTTTTTTTATCTTATTTACACAAACTCGTGCAATCATTTTATCTCTTAGATGTTCGTATTATAATTGACATTTGCTAGTTTTATACTACTTTGTTCAGTAAATTGCTTTTCTTAAACGTGTCTGACACAGATAAAGGTTTATTCATTTTAAATTATCTGTAGTTCATCAGACTGAACTCTTAGTGCCGCTGCTGGTCAATATGTGAGTTTAAAGAGCAGATCTGCTGCAATTCCACCCCCATTATCTCCATATTATTAGAGAGACAGAAGCTGAGAGCACAGTCTGAGGAAGAGAGAGAAGACGAATTACGGAGATACTGTATTAATAATCCTTATTTCTGAAATTTCATACACTTTTGTTAGTTCTTGTCACTTTGGATATATACATAATTTCCTCCAGCTTCTTGGATTGGTTTATTTGGTTTCTGCTTAAATCTTCCTTCCGTGGTCTTCTGCAAAATGTCGGACAGAACAATGGCGCGGCAAGTACTGCTGATTATTTGGTTTCTCTCTCTCAGTTCGGCTCTCGGGCAGGTCAGTTACTCCATTCCTGAGGAAATGGCGAAAGGCTCTTTAGTCGGGAACATAGCGCAAGATTTGGGTTTAGATTTAAAGAGACTGAAATCGGGTAAAGCGCGTATTTATACAGGAGACAGCGCTGAATACATCGAGCTGAATAAAGAAAGAGGAGTCCTCCTTATCAAAGAGAGAATCGACCGAGAGGCGCTATGCGGACAGACAACGCCTTGCGCCTTACATTTACAGATTACCTTGGAAAATCCTATGGAGTTTTATAGCGTAACAATTGAGATTGTAGACGTAAATGACAACTCTCCCGTTTTTGCAGTTAAAGAGATTAAATTTGATATAAGTGAATCCTTGTCTTTGTCATTTAGTGAGAAACTTCAGCTTCGCTGACCATGGTCCTGAAATGCAGAGAAGCGGTCATTTTCCTCGTGTATTCTGATGCATCTTTTAGAGGAGACCATGTTTTTTAGTTAGGTTTTTTTTTCTGAAGTTTGTCTGTCTATCCTTCTGATCACAGTTAAACGACACAAACTTTAATTCGTTTTCAGATACTTGGTGTGTGTTTAATTGTATTTTAAATATTTCTCCGTCTCTCTGATCAATGGACACGCGGATAGGGCTTGATCAAAAACACTGAGGGAACGAGAAATGTATTTGTTTTAGTTTTTTTCTTTAAATCTCATTTACACAAACTCATACAATCATTTTATCTCTTAGATGTTTGTATTATAATGGACATTTGCTAGTTTTATACTACTTTGTTCAGTACACTGCTTTTATTAGACGTGTCTGACACAGATAAAGGTTTATTCATTTTAAATTTTCTGTAGTTCATCAGACTGAACTCTTAGTGCCGCTGTTGGTCAATATGTGAGTTTAAAGAGCAGATCTGCTGCAATTCCACCCCCATCATCTCCATATTATTAGAGAGACAGAAGCTGAGAGCACAGTCTGAGGAAGAGAGAGAAGACGAATTACGGAGATACTGTATTAATAATCCTTATTTCTGAAATTTCATACACTTTTGTTAGTTCTTGTCACTTTGGATATATACATAATTTCCTCCAGCTTCTTGGATTGGTTTATTTGGTTTCTGCTTAAATCTTCCTTCCGTGGTCCTCTGCAAAATGTCGGACAGAACAATGGCGCGGCAAGTACTGCTGATTATTTGGTTTCTCTCTCTCAGTTCGGCTCTCGGGCAGGTCAGTTACTCCATTCCCGAGGAAATGGCGAAAGGTTCTTTAGTCGGGAACATAGCGCAGGATTTGGGTTTAGATTTAAAGAGACTGAAATCGGGTAAAGCGCGTATTTATACAGGAGACAGCGCTGAATATATCGAGCTGAATAAAGAAAGAGGAGTCCTCCTTATCAAAGAGAGAATCGACCGAGAGGCGCTATGCGGACAGACAACGCCTTGCGCCTTACATTTACAGATTACCTTGGAAAATCCTATGGAGTTTTATAGCGTAACAATTGAGATTGTAGACGTAAATGACAACTCTCCCGTTTTTGCAGTTAAAGAGATTAAATTTGATATAAGTGAATCATCTCTGACAGGAGCTAAATTTGTTTTAGAGACAGCCGTGGATGATGACGTTGGCCTTAACGGCGTACAAAGTTATTTTTTACATCCCGCTGATCATTTTATTCTAAAGACTCAAGATATGCCGGATGGTAGCAAAAATGTTGAAATTATTCTACAAAAACCTTTAGATCGAGAAAAACAAAAACACATTTCACTTTTACTTACTGCTTTGGACGGGGGAGACCCACAAATGTCTGGAACAATTCCGATTGTAATCACAATTGAGGACGCAAATGATAACGCACCAGTTTGCTATCTGCCTGTTTATAAGACCAGCGTTGCAGAAAACTCTCCAAAGGGTACAATTTTAACTGCAGTTCAAGCATCAGATGCTGACCAGGGACAGAATGGTAAAATAGAGTATCATATTTCGAAATCTTCTGGTGGCGCCACTAACCTCTTTGAAATAGACAGAGATGAAGGAGTGTTAAGGTTATCCGGCGATACTGACTATGAACGAATTAAACATTATCAAATTGACGTTCAGGCGAGAGACCCCGGACGTCACTCGGACACATGCAAAGTCATTGTTGATGTAATTGATGTGAATGACAACAAACCAGTAATTAATATAATGTCAAAATCAAACACACTTTCCGAAGATTCAAAACCAGGTACCGCTGTGACTATGCTGAATGTTCAAGACTCAGATTCTGGTGAAAATGGAAAGGTTCAGTGCTCCATTAATGATAATATACCTTTTAAGCTGAAGTCAACAAACAGCAATTTCTTCAGTTTAGTCACAGATGGTGATTTAGACCGAGAGCGCGAGTCTGAGTATAACATCAGTGTGACGTGCGCGGATGAGGGCGTGCCCTCTCTCTCCAGCAGCGTCACTCTCTCCTTACAGATATCAGATGTGAATGATAACGCGCCTGTCTTTGACAAGAGCTCATATGAGGCCTCTGTTCAAGAAAACAACACACCGGGTCTTTCCATATTCACAGTCAGAGCCAGAGACGCAGATTTTAACCAGAATGCCCGTGTGTCTTACATACTGGAGGACTCGTCGGTTAACGGAGTGCCCGTCTCCTCGTTAGTGTCCGTTAGTGCTGATAGTGGAGTCATACATTCAGTGCGATCTTTCGATTACGAGCAGATCAAAGATTTCACTTTCCGCGTAAAAGCGCAGGACGGAGGCTCTCCTCCTCTCAGCAGCAACGTGAGCGTGAAAATAATGATTCAGGACCAGAATGACAACGCGCCTCAGGTTCTGTATCCGGTCCAGTCAGGCGCTTCTGTGGTGGCTGAAATAGTGCCTCGTTCTGCAGATGTGGGTTATCTGGTGACTAAAGTGGTGGCTGTTGATGTGGACTCTGGACAGAATGCCTGGCTCTCATATAAACTGCAAAAAGCCACCGAGAGGGCGCTGTTTGAAGTGGGCTTACAGAATGGAGAAATAAGAACTGTGCGCCAAGTGACAGATAAAGATGCTGTGAAACAAAGACTCACTGTTGTAGTGGAGGACAACGGGCAGCCCTCTCGATCAGCTACAGTCAATGTTAACGTGGCGGTGGCGGACAGCTTCCCTGAAGTGCTCTCGGAGTTCACTGACTTTACGCACGACAAGGACTACAACGACAACCTGACTTTCTATCTGGTCTTGGCCTTGGCTGTGGTTTCGTTTCTCTTTATCGTGTCTATCATTGCCATACTGTCAGTCAAATGCTACAGATGGAGACGCGAGCGGATGTTTTACAAATCTGGAGCGAATCTTCCAATTATTCCGTATTATCCGCCTCTTTACGCAGATGTAGGTGGCACAGGAACTTTACAGCACGTGTACAATGATGAGGTTTGCAGAACCACTGACTCCAGAAAGAGTGATCTGAAATACGGCAGACCTTGCAGTGAGAGCATCATTAGTCTGGACAGCAGCGGAACACAGACACTCACGCATGCGCAAAGGGAGAGACTGAACTTTGACGATTGTGACGATCAGGTGAGAAATATATTTACAGCTAATTTGTATTTATATTTTAAGACGTTGTTTCTCATAATTAATCATTTTTGCTTTAGCTGTTGACAGTATCGCTGATTAGTTTTCTGAAATAAATAGTTTATGTAATTTTAAGAAGTTGACGAGTAAATAATGGTGTATTTCGATCTTATATTATGGTTTGGCCAGTTTTTATAGTTGTCTATTTTCTGCATTTCTATTACTCAAATTATTATTCTCTATTTTTATTAGTATCTCTTTTTTGTACAGCCAAAAATTAAAAAAGAAACATTTTATGCGTCAAGTAGACGTTTATTTATATATTTATTTTAATATATATTAGTTTTTTTATTAGTTTATTTAATTAATTTGAAGTCCGAGGGAATATGGAATATTGTCACTGATTTATAGACTAGCGATTTAACATGCGGTGGCATTTTCAGTTTTTATTTGACTAACTTTTTTTCTGCACGACTTGTTATACTTGTCTTTGTCATTTAGTGAGAAACTTCAGCTTCGCTGACCATGGTCCTGAAATGCAGAGAAGCGGTCATTTTCCTCGTGTATTCTGATGCATCTTTTAGAGGAGACCATGTTTTTTAGTTAGGTTTTTTTTTCTGAAGTTTGTCTGTCTATCCTTCTGATCACAGTTAAACGACACAAACTTTAATTCGTTTTCAGATACTTGGTGTGTGTTTAATTGTATTTTAAATATTTCTCCGTCTCTCTGATCAATGGACACGCGGATAGGGCTTGATCAAAAACACTGAGGGAACGAGAAATGTATTTGTTTTAGTTTTTTTCTTTAAATCTCATTTACACAAACTCATACAATCATTTTATCTCTTAGATGTTTGTATTATAATGGACATTTGCTAGTTTTATACTACTTTGTTCAGTACACTGCTTTTATTAGACGTGTCTGACACAGATAAAGGTTTATTCATTTTAAATTTTCTGTAGTTCATCAGACTGAACTCTTAGTGCCGCTGTTGGTCAATATGTGAGTTTAAAGAGCAGATCTGCTGCAATTCCACCCCCATTATCTCCATATTATTAGAGAGACAGAAGCTGAGAGCACAGTCTGAAAAGAAGAGAGAAGACAAATCACGAAGATACTGTATTTAGTACCCTCTTCATTGACTTACAGACTTTTTTGTTAACTCTCGTCACTTTGGATTTATACATGATTTCCTCCAGCTTTTTGGATTGATTTTTTTTTTTCTGCTTGAATCTTCCTTCCGTAGTCTAATGCAAAATGTCGAACAGAACAATGGCGCGGCAAGTACTGCTGTTTATTTGGTTTCTCTCTCTCAGTTCGGCTCTCGGGCAGGTCAGTTACTCCATTCCCGAGGAAATGGCGAAAGGTTCTTTAGTCGGGAACATAGCGCAGGATTTGGGTTTAGATTTAAAGAGACTGAAATCGGGTAAAGCGCGTATTTATACAGGAGACAGCGCTGAATACATCGAGCTGAATAAAGAAAGAGGAGTCCTCCTTATCAAAGAGAGAATAGACCGAGAGGCGCTATGCGGACAGACAACGCCTTGCGCCCTACATTTTCAGATTATTCTTGAAAACCCAATGGAATTTTTTAGCGTTACAATTGAAATAACAGATATTAATGACAACACTCCTAGCTTTAAAAAGAGTATGATTGTTTTTAGAATTAGCGAAGCAGCTGTTTTATGATCTAAATTTATGTTAGAGCCTGCTATAGATCTCGATGTGGGAATCAACGGCCTTCAAAGCTATAAGCTAAAATCTACTGATAATTTTAATCTTAAATTTAAAAATCAACCAGGAGACGGGAAAAATGTCGAAATGGTTCTAAAAAAGCCTTTAGATCGTGAAAAACAGCATGATATAAAATTAGTGCTCACAGCCATTGATGGGGGAGATCTTCAGTTGTCTGGCAGTATAGAGATCCACATTACAGTTTTAGACGTAAACGACAATGCTCCTGTTTTCTTACAGTCAGTTTATAAAGCGACTGTCACAGAGAATGCGCCAAAATACACTGTAGTGTCAACAGTGAGTGCAACTGACCCCGACGAGGGAATAAATAGTAAAATAGTATATTCTATTGCAAACATGCACGATGATGATCAACAGTTATTTGGCATAAATCAAGATACTGGTCAAGTTACAGTGGTCGGAATAATAGACTTTGAAAATGCTCGCAATTATGAGATAAGCGTTCAGGCGAGTGATCATGGTGGTCTGACTGATTCGTGTAAAATCATAGTTGATGTAATTGATATAAATGATAATAAGCCAGTGATCAATATTATGTCCAAAACAAACGTGATAGCTGAAAATTCAGCGTCTGAGACGGTGGTTACAATGATAAATGTTCAGGATCATGATTCGGGAGAAAACGGCGAAGTTCATTGTTCAATTAATGAGAACATTCCTTTTACCTTGAGGTCGACGAATGCCAATTTCTTCAGTTTAGTCACAGATGGTGATTTAGACCGAGAGCGCGAGTCTGAGTATAACATCAGTGTGACGTGCGCGGATGAGGGCGTGCCCTCTCTCTCCAGCAGCGTCACTCTCTCCTTACAGATATCAGATGTGAATGATAACGCGCCTGTCTTTGACAAGAGCTCATATGAGGCCTCTGTTCAAGAAAACAACACACCGGGTCTTTCCATATTCACAGTCAGAGCCAGAGACGCAGATTTTAACCAGAATGCCCGTGTGTCTTACATACTGGAGGACTCGTCGGTTAACGGAGTGCCCGTCTCCTCGTTAGTGTCCGTTAGTGCTGATAGTGGAGTCATACACGCTGTGCGATCTTTCGATTACGAGCAGATCAAAGATTTCCAGTTCCGCGTAAAAGCGCAGGACGGAGGCTCCCCTCCTCTCAGCAGCAACGTGAGGGAGGACAAAATGTCGAAATGATTTTACAAAAGCCTCTAGATCGTGAGAAGCAGGATGACATGTCTTTAACGTTAACAGTTATCGACGGTGGAGATCCACAAATGTCTGGTAATATTCAGATAAATATTATTGTTTTAGATGTGAACGATAACGCTCCTGTTTTCACACAGTCAGTTTATAAAACTGCTGTAACAGAAAATTCACCAAAAGGAACAATTGTGACGACAGTTAGTGCGTCGGATCCAGATCAAGGAGTAAACGGTGAAATAATCTATTCAATAACAAACACGCTAGATAAAGTTCGAGACATATTTGAAATCAACGAGACTGATGGCAAAGTACGGTTGATCGGTCTAGTTGATTATGAACAAGCTCGGCACTTTGAGATTCGCGTTCAAGCGAGTGATCATGGAGGCTTTACTGATTCGTGTAAGATCATAGTTGATGCAATTGATATCAATGATAATAAACCAGTGATCAATATTATGTCCAAAACAAACGTGATAGCTGAAAATTCCGCGTCTGAGACGGTGGTAACGATGATAAATGTTCAGGATCTTGATTCGGGAGAAAACGGGAAAGTTAAATGTTCAGTTAATGAGAACATTCCTTTTACCTTGAGGTCGACGAATGCCAATTTCTTCAGTTTAGTCACAGATGGTGATTTAGACCGAGAGCGCGAGTCTGAGTATAACATCAGTGTGACGTGCGCGGATGAGGGCGTGCCCTCTCTCTCCAGCAGCGTCACTCTCTCCTTACAGATATCAGATGTGAATGATAACGCGCCTGTCTTTGACAAGAGCTCATATGAGGCCTCTGTTCAAGAAAACAACACACCGGGTCTTTCCATATTCACAGTCAGAGCCAGAGACGCAGATTTTAACCAGAATGCCCGTGTGTCTTACATACTGGAGGACTCGTCGGTTAACGGAGTGCCCGTCTCCTCGTTAGTGTCCGTTAGTGCTGATAGTGGAGTCATACACGCTGTGCGATCTTTCGATTACGAGCAGATCAAAGATTTCCAGTTCCGCGTAAAAGCGCAGGACGGAGGCTCTCCTCCTCTCAGCAGCAACGTGAGCGTGAAAATAATGATTCAGGACCAGAATGACAACGCGCCTCAGGTTCTGTATCCGGTCCAGTCAGGCGCTTCTGTGGTGGCTGAAATAGTGCCTCGTTCTGCAGATGTGGGTTATCTGGTGACTAAAGTGGTGGCTGTTGATGTGGACTCTGGACAGAATGCCTGGCTCTCATATAAACTGCAGAAAGCCACAGACAGGGCGCTGTTTGAAGTGGGCTTACAGAATGGAGAAATAAGAACTGTGCGCCAAGTGACAGATAAAGATGCTGTGAAACAAAGACTCACTGTTGTAGTGGAGGACAACGGGCAGCCCTCTCGATCAGCTACAGTCAATGTTAACGTGGCGGTGGCGGACAGCTTCCCTGAAGTGCTCTCGGAGTTCACTGACTTTACGCACGACAAGGACTACAACGACAACCTGACTTTCTATCTGGTCTTGGCCTTGGCTGTGGTTTCGTTTCTCTTTATCGTGTCTATCATTGCCATACTGTCAGTCAAATGCTACAGATGGAGACGCGAGCGGATGTTTTACAAATCTGGAGCGAATCTTCCAGTTATTCCGTATTATCCGCCTCTTTACGCAGACGTAGGGGGCACAGGAACTTTACAGCACGTGTACAATTATGAGGTTTGCAGAACCACTGACTCCAGAAAGAGTGATCTGAAATACGGCAGACCTTGCAGTGAGAGCATCATTAGTCTGGACAGCAGCGGAACACAGACACTCACGCATGCGCAAAGGGAGAGACTGAACTTTGACGATTGTGACGATCAGGTGAGAAATATATTTACAGCTAATTTGTATTTATATTTTAAGACGTTGTTTCTCATAATTAATCATTTTTGCTTTAGCTGTTGACAGTATCGCTGATTAGTTTTCTGAAATAAATAGTTTATGTAATTTTAAGAAGTTGACGAGTAAATAATGGTGTATTTCGATCTTATATTATGGTTTGGCCAGTTTTTATAGTTGTCTATTTTCTGCATTTCTATTACTCAAATTATTATTCTCTATTTTTATTAGTATCTCTTTTTTGTACAGCCAAAAATTAAAAAAGAAACATTTTATGCGTCAAGTAGACGTTTATTTATATATTTATTTTAATATATATTAGTTTTTTTATTAGTTTATTTAATTAATTTGAAGTCCGAGGGAATATGGAATATTGTCACTGATTTATAGACTAGCGATTTAACATGCGGTGGCATTTTCAGTTTTTATTTGACTAACTTTTTTTCTGCACGACTTGTTATACTTGTCTTTGTCATTTAGTGAGAAACTTCAGCTTCGCTGACCATGGTCCTGAAATGCAGAGAAGCGGTCATTTTCCTCGTGTATTCTGATGCATCTTTTAGAGGAGACCATGTTTTTTAGTTAGGTTTTTTTTTCTGAAGTTTGTCTGTCTATCCTTCTGATCACAGTTAAACGACACAAACTTTAATTCGTTTTCAGATACTTGGTGTGTGTTTAATTGTATTTTAAATATTTCTCCGTCTCTCTGATCAATGGACACGCGGATAGGGCTTGATCAAAAACACTGAGGGAACGAGAAATGTATTTGTTTTAGTTTTTTTCTTTAAATCTCATTTACACAAACTCATACAATCATTTTATCTCTTAGATGTTTGTATTATAATGGACATTTGCTAGTTTTATACTACTTTGTTCAGTACACTGCTTTTATTAGACGTGTCTGACACAGATAAAGGTTTATTCATTTTAAATTTTCTGTAGTTCATCAGACTGAACTCTTAGTGCCGCTGTTGGTCAATATGTGAGTTTAAAGAGCAGATCTGCTGCAATTCCACCCCCATTATCTCCATATTATTAGAGAGACAGAAGCTGAGAGCACAGTCTGAAAAGAAGAGAGAAGACAAATCACGAAGATACTGTATTTAGTACCCTCTTCATTGACTTACAGACTTTTTTGTTAACTCTCGTCACTTTGGATTTATACATGATTTCCTCCAGCTTTTTGGATTGATTTTTTTTTTTCTGCTTGAATCTTCCTTCCGTAGTCTAATGCAAAATGTCGGACAGAACAATGGCGCGGCAAGTACTGCTGTTTATTTGGTTTCTCTCTCTCAGTTCGGCTCTCGGGCAGGTCAGTTACTCCATTCCCGAGGAAATGGCGAAAGGTTCTAACATAGCGCACATAGCGCAGGATTTGGGTTTAGATTTAAAGAGACTGAAATCGGGGAAAGCGCGTATTTACAGCGCTGAAGCGCCCTACATTTTCAGATTATTCTTGAAAACCCAATGGAATTTTTTAGCGTTACAATTGAAATAACAGATATTAATGACAACACTCCTAGCTTTAAAAAGAGTATGATTGTTTTTAGAATTAGCGAAGCAGCTGTTTTAGGATCTAAATTTATGTTAGAGCCTGCTATAGATCTCGATGTGGGAATCAACGGCCTTCAAAGCTATAAGCTAAAATCTACTGATAATTTTAATCTTAAATTTAAAAATCAACCAGGAGACGGGAAAAATGTCGAAATGGTTCTAAAAAAGCCTTTAGATCGTGAAAAACAGCATGATATAAAATTAGTGCTCACAGCCATTGATGGGGGAGATCTTCAGTTGTCTGGCAGTATAGAGATCCACATTACAGTTTTAGACGTAAACGACAATGCTCCTGTTTTCTTACAGTCAGTTTATAAAGCGACTGTCACAGAGAATGCGCCAAAATACACTGTAGTGTCAACAGTGAGTGCAACTGACCCCGACGAGGGAATAAATAGTAAAATAGTATATTCTATTGCAAACATGCACGATGATGATCAACAGTTATTTGGCATAAATCAAGATACTGGTCAAGTTACAGTGGTCGGAATAATAGACTTTGAAAATGCTCGCAATTATGAGATAAGCGTTCAGGCGAGTGATCATGGTGGTCTGACTGATTCGTGTAAAATCATAGTTGATGTAATTGATATAAATGATAATAAGCCAGTGATCAATATTATGTCCAAAACAAACGTGATAGCTGAAAATTCAGCGTCTGAGACGGTGGTTACAATGATAAATGTTCAGGATCATGATTCGGGAGAAAACGGCGAAGTTCATTGTTCAATTAATGAGAACATTCCTTTTACCTTGAGGTCGACGAATGCCAATTTCTTCAGTTTAGTCACAGATGGTGATTTAGACCGAGAGCGCGAGTCTGAGTATAACATCAGTGTGACGTGCGCGGATGAGGGCGTGCCCTCTCTCTCCAGCAGCGTCACTCTCTCCTTACAGATATCAGATGTGAATGATAACGCGCCTGTCTTTGACAAGAGCTCATATGAGGCCTCTGTTCAAGAAAACAACACACCGGGTCTTTCCATATTCACAGTCAGAGCCAGAGACGCAGATTTTAACCAGAATGCCCGTGTGTCTTACATACTGGAGGACTCGTCGGTTAACGGAGTGCCCGTCTCCTCGTTAGTGTCCGTTAGTGCTGATAGTGGAGTCATACACGCTGTGCGATCTTTCGATTACGAGCAGATCAAAGATTTCCAGTTCCGCGTAAAAGCGCAGGACGGAGGCTCCCCTCCTCTCAGCAGCAACGTGAGCGTGAAAATAATGATTCAGGACCAGAATGACAACGCGCCTCAGGTTCTGTATCCGGTCCAGTCAGGCGCTTCTGTGGTGGCTGAAATAGTGCCTCGTTCGGCAGATGTGGGTTATCTGGTGACTAAAGTGGTGGCTGTTGATGTGGACTCTGGACAGAATGCCTGGCTCTCATATAAA